TGGGATAATAATCCTTTCATTGTTAAGTCAACTTCCTGGGGACATTAAATTGATTCTGATAATTCATTTATTTTTTAACATTTCGTCTCTTTAACAGATTCTCAGCGGGTTTTCAAATTTTCCAATAGTAAAACCCCGATTAAAATTTTGCGGGCATTTCTTCGTCCATTTAAGTTAAAGAAATGGTCTATAGTTTTGTTGATCTGGGCCGATGTGAATATTCCTAACGTACATTGTTTATCTTTCTCACAATGTACAGCAAAGGTGGTGCTGAATAAAGTCTGGATTCTAATATTAAGATTACTTTTTGGGAAAGTTTACAAAAAATTCAATTTCCTCTTAACGTGTTTCAAGTTGGCCGACCGACCCCTTTGAAACGCATTTTGTTCATTTTAATTGCTCAGTTTTTCTGGAGTGGTTGTTATGAATCCCAAAGAAATTTTAAAACTCTGTTCGCTTCTTTATTTTCCCTTCGTCCAGAAGAAAGAAAATGTCGGACCGAATGACCTGACAAGATTTAACAGTCGTCACTGTTAAACCTGTACAAGTTGTTTTCCAGCAACGTGTGTAATGCATTAAACTCCTCGAAAGAGAATACGTAAGATGTACTAATTTCATCACCCGGAGAAGCGATGTTGATAAGTTCCTATTCCTGAAATAAAACAAATTATATTCAACAAATAAATTCAAATTTGAAATTGCTGTAGTAAAGGTAAAATAAGCCTAAACACATATTAAACTTTCTCTGATATGCTTAGCAATTTTGGCATTATTTGTCTGTTAGCGTAATTTTCCAAAACCAAATTTATTTAATTTATGTCAAAGTGTCTGGGAGATCTGAAAGTTCTTATGTTCCTGCAATTATTTATAGCCTTTTTAAAAAAAAATTAAACAATTGACATGTTTTTGGGAAAAAATAATTCATATTTTAAAAGTCAAAAATGTTTTTGGCGCCTTGCAAACGGTGTTTCATTAGTGAGAACTTTTTTTTATTTTTGGGAAAATTTCTTAAAAAAGCGGGAATTGTTATGCAATTTTTCTGAAACAATTTTCTCAATTTTATTCCTAAAAAGCAAAATGGGTTTTAAGAAGGGGTTTTTCATTTTTTAAAAAATCTGAAAACGGGGTGTTTTAAAAGGGGGAAAATCTAAAATCGGAGGTGTGTTAAAGGGGGTCACCCCGGCCCGGCCCCCGGAAACTGGTTTAAAGGAAGCCCAAATTTCCCGTTGTGATTATAGCCGGTATTTGATATTCTTTTTTCATTAATGAAAATCAGTTTCGGAAAAAAAATACAAAAGGGCATGATGGCCCTGAGTCGCTCTCCAGAAACAACTGCTTTTCAGTGTTGGAAATTATTTTTCAAAAGCAGATGCTGAAAGGCAGGTTCCAGCTCTTTCGGCAAGTTCAACTCAAACTTTAACTTGCCCCCTCTAGTAATATACTTTCACAACACTGATTGTTTTAGCTTTTTTTTTCATAATAAACAATAGGGGCCACTAAGATGGCCCTAAAAATCACTCATTTAACTACCATCAATTTTAATTATTCACAATATAAATTGAAATATTTTGCCACTAATATTTTGGAAAGGCTTTGTTAAAAAGGATGTATTTTGCAAAGTGTGTTCCTATGAGACTATGTAGAATTAAATGCAGAAAAAAAATGACAGGGGAGCAAGAAATTTAAATTTTTAAAAAGGGAAAAATTTTTTTTTCCCTTTTTTTAATAAAACAAAAAAGTCAATGCTAAACTGTAAGGGGTAGATGTTTGAAGTTTACAGATTTTGGGGCAAAAATATTTTTTACATTCTATATGGCAAAATAATGTTCCCCAAAAAAAAACAATAGGTCAAAAAAGTTTTTTTAAAAAAATATGAAATAGGGGCCCGTTGTTTTTAAAAAATTTAATTCAGCTCAGAAATTGCCCCCTAGTTCAAAATTTAAAATCTGTAAAGCCTAAAAAAAAGAATGGAAAGGGCAAAATTTTAAAAAAATAAAAGTGGGGAGTTTTATATAAAAATTTATTTCGGCTCAAGAATTTTTTAAAAATGGTTCAAATTTAAAATCTTTAATGTAAAAAACAAAAAAAATAGGCCCTAAAAACCCAAGTAGGTAAAATGGTATAAAAATTTAGTTAAAATCAAAAAATTAAAAAAATTCACCCCTGGTCCAAAAATTTAAAATAGGTAATAAAAAAAGAAGGGAGGTAAAGCGATATAAAAAATATTAAAAAATGGCCAGTTTATATCAAAAAAATTTATATAAATTTAGGATAGAAATTAAACCCCTTAGTTTGTTTAGTTTTTTATCTTTTAATTCGTTTCGATTAGAAATTTCATTCCCGGTCCCAAATTTTTAAGTCCCCTTTTACATTTATTCCCAAAATTTTAAATGTTGTACTAAAAAAAAAAGTATGTAAAATTTGGGTTTTAAAAAAATTTAAAAAAGTTTCCCTTGATACCAAATTCAATTATTCAATTTTTGAAAAATCAGCGTTCAAAGTCCTGTCCCAAAATTAATTTGAAATGTTGGCTTTTTCCCAAGTTTAAAAGTCCAATTCAAAAAACCAAAAAAAAAATTACAATTTTTTAACAAAATTCAATAAACAATGAACATACAAACTCATCTTTGTTCAAAAGGTTTACTGGAGAAACAAAATTTAATGTTTCCTTTAGAGATTTTTTTTTTCCTGGTTAATGACCTACAACTGACCTTACAATGATGCAAATATGATAACCAATTCTACTCAGCTGTGAGATATTCACACATCATATACAGGTCATGACATTAAGACTTTCTCCAAGCCATTGAACCTCTTTTGGAAAAATTGAATAACATATGTACACATTCCAACATGAGTTGTTTCCCTTTCATTATGAAAATATATCCTATACCCATCTTTGGTCAAAACACGATTATTTTTATAATCCATTGTCAATATTTTCTAACATTAATTTGAGCATAGAATATCTTTAAACTATAATTTGAAGAAATGCCATGACCTGGGGCATTTAAGCTTTAGCTTAAACAGGGTCAATCAAATTAATATGAGCAAAACTTGATAAAAGACTACCTACAGACAAAGTTTGGTCACCATCCATTAAATATTTCAGTAGGAGATGATGTTCAAAGGTTTTCTATATTTAGCTTTTAGCGGCCCCTTTAAGGGGCCAATGACATTTAATATGAACAAACTTGATAAAAAGACTACCTAAGAATGCTACAGACAAAAATTTGGTGATCATCCATCCATTACTTCTGTACAAAGAGACGTTTAAAAGTATTTCTATTTTAGCTTAAGCTGCCCCTAAAAGGGTGCCAATCAAATAAATATGAGCAAACTTGATAGAAGACTACCTAAGAGTGCTACATACAAAGTTTGGTGATTTCAGTAGGAAATGATGTTCAAAGATTTTTTCGATTTTTAGCTTTGGAGGCCCCTAAAAGGGGCCAATAAAATTAATATGAGCAAACTTTGATAACAGACTACCAAAGAATGCTACAGACAAAGTTTGGTGATCATCCATCAATTAGTTCTGTAGAAAGAGATGTTTAAAGGTATTTCTATTTTCAGCTTTAGCGGCCCCTAAAAGGGGCCAATCAAATTAATATGAGCAAACTTGATACAAGACTACCTTAGAATGCTACAGACAAAGTTTTGTGATCATCCATCAATTAGTTCTGTAGAAATAGACATTTAAAGGTATTTCTATTTTTAGCATTTGTGGCCCGAAAAAGGAGCCAATCAAAATAATATTCGCAAACTTGATAAAAAAATACCTAAGAGTGCTACAGACAAAGTTTGGTGATCATCCATCAATTAGTTCTGTAGGAGAGGACGTTTAAAGGTTATTCTATTTTAGCCCTAGAGACCCCTAGAAGGGTCAAATCAAAATAATATTAGCAAACTAGATAAAAGACTACCCAAGAATACTACAGACAAAGTTTGGTGATTATCCGTCAATTAGTTCTGTAGAAATAGACGTTTAAAGGTATTTCTATTTTTAGCTTTAGCGTCCCCTAAAAGGGGCCAATCAAATTCATATGAGCAAACTTGATAAAAGACTACAAAAGAATGCTACAGACAAAGTTTGGTGATCATCCCATCCATTAGTTCTGTAGAAGAAGATGTTTAAAGGTTTTTCTATTTTTAGCCCTAGAGACCCCTAAAAAGGGGCCAATCAAATTCATATGAGCAAACTTGATAAAAGACTACCCAAGAATGCTACAGACAAAGTTTGGTGATCATCTACCCATTAGTTCTGTTTAAAGAAGATGTTTAAAGGTTTTTCTATTTTAGCTCTGCTGACCCCTTAAAGGGGCCAATTGGAATGACATGAGCAAATTCAAGTGTGACTGTCACAAGGATGCTACAGACCAAATTTGAAGTTAATCTGCTTAGTAGTTTCAGAGAAGAAGACGATTGTTGACGCATGACGACAGACGGCGGACGACGGACGCCGGAGCATCCCCCTTTGATACTAATAGCTCACCCTGAGCCTTCGGCTCTGGTGAGCTAAAAAAATAAACGATCCTAATATAGATTGTGCTGCTGTATACTCCTCCAGTATAGAATGTGCTGTACTCAGCAATGCATTATATCTGAACAACTGTACTCTGCAAAGTTTAATGACGTTATTATTTCAGCATTTTTCTACTTAAGTACATTATGAATGGTTTGCCATGGATGTTTTGGACTTGAAAATGAATACGAGACTAAATTGATGACATCGGATCCAATTATGATTTTAAATTTAGAGATCACGCTGGAAGATAACATTTTATAAGTTGTGCAGCACTTTCGAGAGATTGTCATTTTAAGGAAAACTATGTATCCTCTAATAAGTATATATACAATTACAAGCACACTTTCGTGTGACAGAAAAGAACGACATATTTACTAACATTTCAAAAACTGTCGGCGGCTCAGATAAATTTTAATATTTACCGCCATGAGCAGATATTAAGCAATTTGTTAAATTACGTGAAACAGTACAGCAGTAAATTTGTATACCTATAACCACAACGTGAACCTCAGCATTTCTCAATTCTCTCGCAGCTATTCTTGTTTCCTTTCGATTGTTAGACATGCCATCTGTTAGAACAAATGCATACGTTAATGTCACTATTCCTTTACGACTTTCGCTTTTTCTTGCTACCTCCATAGAAAATTTTAACCCTTTATTGGTAAATATGACACCAGGCCGAAACCTGATATTCTGGATCAAGCTTTGCAAGACATGTTTGTCAACTGACTGGTTGAAGGTGATTTCTATTTTTGCTTCAGTAGAGTATGTTATAACAGCAATCTGAAATTCCTCCGTACTAATTTTTACTTTCTCGACGAACTTAATCACAAATTCCAACTGTGCATGAAATTGTTTTCTGTTTGACTGACAGCAGAATCAAGTACAAATATGACATCCGTAGGAAAAGGTGTACATCCTGGTAATACTGAAAACAGACGTTCATACAAATATTAAAAGAAATCATAATTACATAAATTTGCAACAAAAAAAAAACAACAACTTTTATACCGAACATGTATACTGAAATAAATAATAAGGTGAAAACACCTTTAAAGATTTAAAAGCTTCTGGGCAATACACTTCAACTTTTTTGCCTTGTTTTATGTTGTCATAATATATATATTTACTGCATATTGTTGCTTCAGTGAAATACATTAACATGAACAAATCTATTTTTTATTAGTTATAGGTTGTTGTATTTATATTTGTCAGACTTACTTTCCTCACAGCAATGACCAAAGGTCCTATTAAGGCATTGGCATCCAAAACCATCATTATTTAATGTTCCACTATTTAAACACTCTTTTCCACATACTTGCTCCTGAAGACAATTAGCGTTCTCTATGTGACATTGTGATGCACAACTTTCAAATCTTCCATATTCCAGTAAACAACACAAACGTCTTTCTCTTTGTTGCAATCCACCACCGCCACAGGAAACGCTACATTCAGTCCATAGTCCCCATGGTGACCAACTGCATATATCATGACAGCCATTCAAACCATTTGGTTCCTCTTTAGTTGGTTTACCTGAAATAAAATAAACATGTTTTAATTTTGTGTGGGCAAGATTTCTTTATTTCATACAAATGAGGGTTTCTTGCGAAACGATCTATCTGCTTCTTTATTTCACACCTTATGAAATATAAGAAATGAATCTCTAGCGTCTGCACCATATGATCCCCCAATATATATCATTTATTTGATCTTGTCTTATAAGTTTGGCATTGTTTTCACTTTACGGGTCCATTTAAGTAACACAAAACACTATAATTGTTATCTTATTTTGCTTTCAATTTCCTGGTAAAAAAACTCCATATATCAAATCAAAAATGTAGTCTGTCTAGTCTCGGTTTTCAGTTGTAGTCCACAAATTCATATCTTATCCATATTGTACTGAGTTTTTGTACTCATACAATGCAAAACGTCCAATATAGGTTTGATCGCTATATATTCTCCCAATGATATTCAGTATCAGATATTTTACTTAATTAATTGACAACATTGTAAAATATCCCCAATTATAATTTCATACAAGTAACCAAGCCACTAGAATTACGACGAACGTAATGTTTTATTATACTTAAAATTAAGAATTGCTTACGTAATAATATCATTACTATGGATAGAAATATCAAAGTGATAAACTTATGTTTCAATTTCTTAATTACTACGGCTAACATTGCAAGAAATAAACTGTGAAATATTTATTTCGAAAACGTTCTTTTCACCGTAAATGGATACAATTTCTTAATTTAACGGAAAAATTTATTCATTACATTATAGAAAGAAGACAAATAAACATAAACAATAAACATACGTTCTTCACAGCATCTTCCTTCGTATAAATCTTTGCAATGACAGTATCCGGAATAAGAAATTGTTGTGATATACTTTCATCGTTAAGGCACTGGGTATTGCATGCTTCCTTTTCGGAAAATCCAGAAATAGATTTTCGCATTCAGTCAAACACTGGAATAAATTTAAACCAGATTTACAACAGAGAGCCCTTGACCTATATCTTTGCCCACCACCACATGTTTCACTGCAGTCATTCCAGCCTGACCAAGGTTCCCATTCACACCGATTACTACTGCACGATGCAGTAGTCACTTTGTAGCAAAAATCCAGATATAATTACAAAAATTTCAAAGAAATAAAATTGCTCATGTTAGTTTTGTCAAAACTGTTTATAACAATAAAAATAAGTTACAATTTACACATTTTAAAAGTAATTATGCAATGTTTCTCCGCTTAGAGCTTAAAAGGGATTATACGTAAATAAAACTAAATAGTTTAAAACTCATGATATTATGCTATATATAAATATAACCGTTTCATTTACTTTTGCTGAATAAATTGATATAAGGTTACACGTAAAACAAGAGTTCAATGACGTACGGCGGTATCACATAACGTAATGTTCAGCATTCTCTCGATATGCAGATTTATTGTTATAAATTTGTCAAAAAGGTTTTCAATTACTTTTCCTGTCCATAATCTATAAATCTTGGCGAATCAATGACTGATTAAAACAAATTGTATAGTGTTTGTAGAATTTTGATCATAATAAACATGACATGTAATTTCCCTATTCAGATTGAACAATATCTTTTTCATTGTATAACATACAGATTTTGAGGGCAATAATTACCAAAATTTCAAATCAAATACAAAATGTGCTTTTTCATGAACATTTAAAATTTATTGCTGGACAATGAAAATGTCCAAATATATCAATTCCTGATTCCTTGAAAAAATAAACCTTTCATTATTTATAGGATAAAAATAAAATAAAAAACAAACTTAAACTCTTTATAGATAATTTGTAAACTGCAAACACTACGGGAATTTAAATTTATTTTAAATCCAAAATTGTTAATGTAAAAATTCTCATGAATAATATATTTAGGTGTATTAGGGTAAGAATATCTTACTGCATATCAAGTTGAGACAGCATTTCATTTTACAGCCACCAGAAAATATTTGCAACACCAAGTTTGTGACAAACTGTACTTTCATTTTTAAGTATATTTAGTACTTTAAAATTTTTTTCATATTATATTTAAAGCTAATTTAGAAGTAACTGACATCATTTTATACTATATTTATTGTTTTAGACGAAAGAAAAAAAAAGAAACAGAATTAATAATAATGTTTATAATTATTATAAAAATATATAACTTTAATATTTCATTTAGTGGCAAACCATCCATGTCACCTATAATTTAAATTAAATTGGATACATTTATAGTTAACATATAACAACAGCAGACATACAATTAGTATACCGTCACGGGTAACTAAACATATACAATTACACATGTACAATTGTATACAAATGAATAGGGATAAAAAAAATCAAGGCTTTATATTTTTCAGAAGAAAATTAAATCCTTAATTATTTGAAAAATGCGACCGGTTTAGAATGAACGTCAATTTGGTAGGTAGTTGGATATTTGAATAACCAACTACTTACTTGCTGGTAGTCGGTTATTCGTACTTCCCAACTTTTAAACAGCTGGTAGTTGCTAATTCTATCCACTATTACCTGCATGAAATATTCGAATTTAAAAGCAGAATAAAGGAGGGGACATAGTTATTCGCGCAAATCCCCAACTATCTACCAGAAGATAGTTGGTAAATTCAATCTAGCATGTTTTCCCCGCATTAATCAATACTATCAATATCAAAATTCCAAAGAAGCGTATTGGTTAAAGAAGTGCCTGCAATTTGGTATAATAATAGTACAGAAGTTGCTTAAATGAACAATTAATTTCCACATAAGTTGTAGTTTGGTCATCATATAAATTTGATTTAATTACCTCTGGTAGCGGGCATGAAACCGATTAAAGTACTTTAAATATCTGTAATTGTTTCTTTTTGTTGAAACGAATTACAAGGCGAAAACCCATTGCATTATCGTTTGAATTCTAGTCTCGCAATTTTACATGACAAGCAAAACGTTCTATACGTGTAAAACATTCCAGGTTTTGATAAAATATATGTTTTGTTGTTAATATTTGATGCGACCAGTTTTTACAATTTTCAAGTCTGTCATCGTAAAACATCATATATTTTGGAACCATTGTTGTGCAAACTATTTGTTCTTTGTTGTTTTCTAAAAAGAAAGAAATAAAATGAACAAGGTAAAAAGTATTTATTCTTTTATGTACACATCTGGAAATAAGTTAAGCACACCCGGCATTTTGCAACAATTTTGACATGACCACAACTGAAATTTTAAATTTTAATTTGGCAATGGTACGAACCACCTGTAGTCAACCTGCACCAACTAAAACAAGCTCTGCGCCAAGAATGGCAAACTTTGCCTCAAAATCGCATTAGACGCCTTACTGGCAGTATGAGGAAAAGGATTGAGGCTATCATTCGGGCACGTGACTGTTACAAACGTTATCAAAAATTTGGTTACATAATTTCATTTTAGGTTACGTTATCGTCAACATTTACGAAAAATATCCACCAGGAAATGTTTTGAAGCTCCAACACCATACTTATAAACACTTACATTTTTGGTTAAAACACAACACTTTGTTTATGCATTAATAATTTGGTTAAGAATAAACAAAACTCATAAATTTACTGGTTTATGATTACTTAATTTGTATCGCTTCATATCAAATTACTATTTCTTAGTTCAATTAAGTCGTCATCTCATGACAGTGCTATAAATCACAACCAAATTTAAAATTCTGGGGTATGCTTAACTATTTCCATGTGTATACGTATTATAAACATTTTCGTCTTAAAATTTATATCTTTTGTTACTATATATTAAAAGTTATCAAATAATAACAAAAATATGTAAACCAAATAGTTTTTAAAACATAGGAAACAGGTGTAGATACCTGACAATTAATTGGCTGTAAATATTTTGTACAAATAGACTGGATGATGTTTTAGTAGAGTTATATGATTATGTTATCAATAAGAGCTGACTGCAATAAATCTATCTCATTAAATAGTGGTTGACTGCAAATAGTCTAGACTACCTTGTTGGTTCAATGTTTATAGTTTTAAATTAAAAAACTAGACACTTTCAAAAATATAACACCTTCTATTGAAAAACATTTTGAGTTTTCTATATTTAAACAAAATAAAATGTGGCATTTTCTATTGAAAAAGAAAATCGACATCTATATTATGTCAATGCAAATGTAGTATTTTGTATTGAAATCATTAAAATGATGTTGAGTTTTCTATTCATAAATATGACATGTCTTATTTTCTGTTCATAAAATTGACATGTATTACGTCATTATGTAAATAAAATGAAGCTGGATCCCCCTCAACCCCTCCCCCCAATTCACTACCCAAGGTCAATTAACCTGTGAATTCTGATCAGACTTTTTTTCTTTTTTTTGATGTCTTAATTTTTGTTTACGCCGTTTGGCGTGCATCGTTGGCGACAGGACGACAAGGCGAAAGTGTATCAACGCGCCGTTTGGCGATTTGTCTTGCTGTCGCTAGCGACATCACGACGAACAAAAGTGTTCAAAATCAGCCACCAAAGTATTTGACATTGCAATTCCGTTCATTTTTGATAGACTTTCTCAAATAAAAAAAGACCAAATCCATTATAATAGCAGATTAAAGATAAAGATATTTATGAAAATCAGCAAATCTGGAAATATCATCTGTTATATTAGTAAGATGCATTCTTACAAAGTATACATGCTTATCATACCTGGCAAATATTTGTGATAATGTTTACACGATAGTAATAGGATAATGCGAATTGGAGGTTAGAATATTAGGTTGTTGGCGCGAATCATTAATATATGAATACCACAATCTGTTATTTCCAACAGAAATATCAGTAAATTACCAATTAAGCAGTGAAAGATATAGTTAGTCAGGCACAATGGTTGCTGGAATGGCTCCGCGGAAGTGACATATACTTTTTTCATCACGTGTTGCCTATTAAAACTTTGCTGTAATAAAGTTTTGTTAATATCTATGCCCGTAAACAAAATGTTTCCCACATTTGTCAGCAGAAATCTTCTTTATCTACAAAACATAAAAAATGACAAACGTATTTGTGCAAAAACTGAATTACAAGACCTCCTACTAATTTTTAACATTTTTGTTTTAATATTTACGATTACTCCATCTCTGTCGATACTTCATTTAATATTTTCATGTGAGTATATGTTTTGTTACCTGTAGGGGTTTAATTCCATCCAAGACGATTTTATTTTTTGTAAAACTATTTGAAATTCTATGAAAGTTTTAGGCTTATTAATTACTAATCATAATTTTGTTTAATCAATATCTCAACTATAACTTGTAAAGATATTGCCTGCACATTGCGTGGGAATTATCAACAAAACAAGAACCCGTGTCCATTACCCAATTCATTTTTCTCTCTTGAACTGGAGAAAAAGATGACCAGTCAACATTCACGATGCCTTATATTTTCATTTTCAAATAAAGAAATTCTATGAACCTTTCTCTCTTTTGCTAACTCGACATTTTTGAGTGTTTGTAAAATCTATAAGCACATGGGTGGAAAACAGGGTATAGGCGACAACAATTCTTTATTCCATGTAGGTTGCAGCAGGTCTCGTATGTAAGTATAAGGGATATAATAGAGAAATACCTGAAACACACATATGAAGCAATGTGTTTAGGCCGCCATATGGTCAGTACGCGTTACCGTAAAAATCACGTGATTCCCTACCGCAATTATGGGGTTATTATACATTACATAATTGACTTCTATTGGACGGGCATATAACTGTCAAACCTTTGACTACACGGGGGAAGAAGTGTTACACGAGGGATAGTTTCTTATGATAACGTTTTAAGGAGTTTTTGTGGTAACTGTCACGGAGTTTGTCGGAAAACTATTTAATATATTGCAAAACACTCGTCAAAAATAGTAATTTTCATCGTAAAAA